AATAAGAATCTATTTTTATTCTTTTTTTATAAATACAAACTAATTTTATATCGGATTTTAAGAAACGAACTGCTATGAAGCAAATTTAATTCATAAAAATTCTATTTTGTACAAGAAAATCAATCGGAGTACATATATACTATGGAATATAACTAAATAAACACCAAAACCCAAAATTCTGGGAAGTGTTTAGAAATCTAAGAGTCTCTCAGTCTCTAATGTAACAATATAATACCCTGGTTGTCAAAGTGTTTACTCTATTTGAGAAATAAAAAAGTCGTTATTGTATATTTCATAATCTATCGCCCCTCGCCTTTTTTGTAGCTTCTCAATAATAATGGTTTTTGACAAAATATACATTTTCTAAGGAGTGTTAAACTATTCAAATTCAAAGGTATTTTGAATTGTAATAAATCAATTTAAAGTTAATTTATATATAATTTACATTTCTGTTCAGTTGTAATAAAGGCTTGTGTAGGTTCTGTATTATTTTTAAAGATATGTTTTTGTATTTTTTTGCTATTGCAATATTGTTTAATTTGAATTAATGTAATCAATATTTTTACAGGAACGAACTGGTCACAAACTTTACACAGGCACCATGCACTGATTGTGGCGGCTTTTATTTCACTTCAGACTGTAGCAGTTAGCACTACCCTTATTTCACTGAAACGAGACAATCAGGGTAACTGACAACATTAAGGATACATTAAAGATTAGATGCATTATTTCCATTGTTTTATTATTTTTTGATTAATAATATTTTCTATGTTGTTGATGAGCAACAGAAATTTTTTTTGTTAGAAATTACTGAAGTGCACTTTCAGACCCCAATTTAAGAAAGTCGTTTTTATTTCTTGATAATTTAATTTGTCGTTTATTAAAGCTGAATGTGCCAAATATTAAAGCGCATGTGGGTGTAGAGAATTTTACAGGTAAAAATTACTGGAGTGCACTTTTAACCATTAAAGAACGTCGTTTTTTGATAAAATAGATTCTTATTAAACAGGTTGAATGTACCAAAATGTATTGAAAGTTGTTGTAAGACATTAGTGAAATTAAATTGAAATTATTGTCAGAAATTACCACGTTAAATTTTTAATCCCCTATCTTTCTTTTTAATTTTTTAATAATTACTTTCTTCCCTATTACAAGAGCTGAATGTACCAAAATGTATTAATGTTGTGAGGCATCTGTGAAAAGAATTTTACTTTTAGAAATAAGCGTGACGTACTTTCAACCACTAATTTAAAAACGTTTTAATTTTTTGATAAATTCATTTCTTTTTTATTAGAGCTGAATGTTCAAAATTTAGTATTGTTACCAAAATGTAATAAAGGAATTGTGTGTGGACAAAATCTAAAATTATGTGACTAAACCTTACTAGTGAATATTTTAATATTTTATTCTGAAAACGAAGTCTTTAATAAAGGAATTACAACTGCAACTCACTGACGAGAATACTTTACAGTACAGCGGGTTGTCGGTATAAAGGAGAAATATTTAAAGCTATCTTCTTGGTAAAGATGAAATTGCTACAGTGCGTTGCGGAAATTTAAAATAACCAGGTTTTTCAATTGTAATAAAACAATCTATTTAAATTTATTTGGCAAATAGGTAAGCAGTTTACGAATGTAATTATGATTTCATTACGGTGTTGATGTAAATGAATGATTTTTAGTTTGTTTANTTCTTTTGTTTCTTATTATTTCCATTAGCTTTTTATTCAAAACTTCATATCTGTTTCTTAGTTACTTATATCAAATCATTTATTTCATTTTCTAACATCAGGAGTTCTTACAGGTCTTCAATTTTACATCAGGATCCCTCCAGCCTGGTGGGGATCTTCGGCGGGGTTCACCAACTCCATATAATGGAGAAAACATTCACCGCAGTCCACCAAATGCAGATTACGTACATGACTATCGATGAGGTCCACCAACAAACGTAATGTAGAGTGAATTTACGTTTTATTCTTTTTATCTACTTTATTAAAACATTAATTAGCACTTCCTTTGAGATTTCATTTCATTTGATTTACTGTAAGACTAATATCTTTTTTGGCTTTACTTTAACACTTATATTTTACTTATTTAAAGCTATTTTTTTTCATTCTTATTATTTCCATTAACTTTTTGTTTAGAACTTAATGTCTGTTTCTTAGTTATTTTTATCAAATCATTTATTTCATTTACTAACATCAAAAGTTCTTACAGGTCTTCAGTTTTACTTCAAGATCCCTCTCTACCCTGGTGGGGATCTTTGGTACAGTCCCCTAACTCCTTTTAATGGAGAATATTTTCAACACAGTCCAGCAACTGCGTATTGTTGTAGACGACCATCGATGAAGTCCGCCAACAAAACGTAATGTATGACGAATTTACTTTTTAATCTTTTTATCTGCGTTACTAACATCAGTTAGCTTTTTCCTTCTTTAAAGATTTTATTTCGTCTAATTTACTTACAGACTTATCCTTTTTATGCTTTACTTTAACACTTATATTTTACATGTTTAAAGCTATTCTATCTTATTATTTACATTAACTGTTTACTCAGAATTTCCTTACTTTTATCAAATCATTTATTTAGTTTACTAACATTAGGAATTCTTACAGGTCTTCAGTTTTACTTCAGAACCCTCCAGACTAGTGGGGATGTTTGGCAGAGTTCACCAACTCCATATAATGAAGAAAACATTCAACACAGTCCACCAACTGCTGATTACGTAGACGATCACCAATGAAGTCCGCCAACAAACGTAAAGTAGGGTGAATTTACGTTTTAATCTTTTTATCTAATTCATTAAAACATCAATTAGCATTTACCATCTTAAAAGATTTTATTTCATTTAATTTACGTTTAGACTTTTATCTCTTTTATGCTTAATTTAACACTTATATTTTACTTATNAGGTGCGAAAACTCCAGGATTGGAGAACATCGAGATTCCCATTCGAATTTTGAGGACATTTGAAGTTTAAAGACCCCAAGTTTTAAAGATCTCGAAATTAGAAAGACTGTGAAGTTCAAAGGTTCGAAATAAGAAGGTCACACACTTGAAAGTTTTCGAAGTTCGAATATTTCGAAGTCGAAAAACGCCAAAATAATTTTGGCGTTTTCCTACTTCGGAATTTTCAAACGGCGAAGACTCTCCTGTATGACTTCTTATTTCGAAGTCGTCGAACCCACAGACTTACCAATTTCGAGGTCTTCGCACCCGGGGCTCTTCAAACTTCGAAGTCTTCAAAGTTCGAAGGGGGAATCTCGATGTTTTCCAAGCCCGGAGTCTTCGGACGCGGAAGTCTTCGGACCCCGGAGGCAGCTGATCCTGTCCCTCGATGTCCAACGATGTCCTGATTGATCCTCATCTCCATTGGATTGGCTTGTCCTGGTTTCTGATGTCCTCATTAACTCCAAACCTCGGTTGGGTGTTAGTTTCACGTCCACCATGCTCTGCGTGACAGCTCTGGCTCATCTGGATGTTCTGCTGGTGGATTTGATTGAAGGGTAACATCCCTGATATATTCAAGAAGTCCTTGCAGTAAGAGTCCCTGAGATCTAAGAAAAAGTCCTATTGTTAATAAATAAATAAGGATTGAATAAAAATAAGTAACAAAACAAAGAATTAGAGAAATTACAAATAAAATATAAGTGTTAAGTACAGAAAGCATAAAAATGATAGCCTAACAAAAACAAATTGGGTTTTTAAAAAGTCTTAAAGTAAATCAGAAGTAAGGAAGTGCTAATTAATGTATAAAAAATAAATAAGAAGATAAAACACTAAACAAACCTTAGGTTACCATTGTTGATGGACTTCATCGAAGATTGGCTCTATAATCTGGAGTATTGTTAAATTCTCATGTTGGATAGAGGAACCCCTAAGACTTACAAAGAAGTCCTGTTGTTATATTGGTAAATAATCATCCATCAACCTGTAAAGGAGTAAAAGAAAATAAATTAATAATAACTGATAGGCAAAAAATAGTATTTGCATATAATACCATAACGATAAGTAAATGTATTAAGGAAAAAATGATCTTTCAGAAATCTACTCAAATATTATTAATTAAAAATCTTACTCACCCCTACTTCACGGGATGAAAAAGCAAAGGAAACAGCCATTGAAATCAATGTCCAACCACCAAGTCTTGCTAACGGTCCTGTGAAAAAAAAATAGTTATCACCTCTCTCGTTTAGTGGAGGTATTCGACAGAGTCGACCATCTCAATATAATGGAGAACACGGTCCATCAACTGCAGGTTACGAAGACGGCCGTCGATGAAGTCTGCGAATAAAGGAAATGTAAGATGTACTTATACTTTAATCTTTTTATGTACTTTAGTATGGTGTTAATTNTTTACAACATGATAGAAAGTAAAGTTTTGGCTATATATGAAAACACATCAAGGGAATTATTAGAATTATTTGAAAATTTTTGTGACTGCTTCAGGAATGCTAGTATTTACACTGGTACACAATTTACTTGCAGTCCTTCTAACAATCTGTATGCCAGACTTCAACAACACAGGTAAAAAGTAACAGAGGCAATTCTAATTAACTTAAGAGAAAAATTTGAATACTAATAGTGAATTGTGTAATTTTAGGTTTAAACAGACTATAGTTAGTGCTAAATTCGGTGGGAAAACCGAGGCAACAAAAAGACTACTTGCTCAACTACCAATAAGTGCTCAATCATACAGCAGTTCTCCGTATTTAGACCTGTCTTTATTTAGTTATGATGACAAATGGGTATCAGTAATGGAGAGGCCAAAAGCTTGTGGGGAACACCCAATTAGGTAAATGATACATACGTATTAATAAAAGTTTGTTTTCTAACAGATGATTTTAGATTTTATGCTAGAGATTCGGGCTTTTTAAAGTTTCGTATTTATGCGGGAAGTACAGGAAGACCAAGTACAACACCTGCTAGAAGATTGGTAGCTTTTACTTTTCATCCAACTGATCCGTTTGCCATTTCAGTACAGAGAACTAATTCCGAGTACATTGTTAATTTTCATATACATTGTAACCCGACTGTTTGCGACCTCTCTGAAGACGTTTTAAGTTTTTTATAGCAAGCATAGTGTTACAGATTTATGTACGATATATTTTTTTTTCATTAAAATATATGAACCAACTTATACAAAGAAACTAAAACAAATGCTTTATCACTTATTTTATTCTAACTTCATACTACTCTAAGATTCTAATTATTGTTGTTCTCACTTTGACATTTTTAAAGTAACATTTATGACGTCTGATAATAAATTAGATTTCTGGGATAATTTGATAAAAAACTCACATCTAACATCTTTAATTAATGTTCTTACTTACTGAATCGTTATCATAAATCCTTCCTTTAGCAACCACAACATACTGTCTCCCTTTTTAGAGGAAAAGTTGCACTTCAGTTTGTCATTCAGGTACCAATACATTTTCAAGTGAAAAAGGACTGCTGCAACCAATGCTGCATGAAGTACAGTAACCAATCTTTATGTAATATTCCTATAAAAAGTTTAGCTACATTTAACAATATTGAAGTTATTATTACAAATGAACAAATGGACACAAACTTATGATTTAATTTAAGTTAGATTCCTGACCGTTAATTGTTAATATAAAACTATAGACATATGTAATGGTTTTTTATTCTTTAAAATATTTTCAAATTACCAATTACTAATGAACTGGAAATGATAAATTCTTTGTTACTATTAAAGTCTAGGTATATTCGGTAATACATACCCCTACTATTTCTACTTTTACCAAAGCAAAAGCATGGATTGATAAGACATTAAGCAACCAGATTTACTTTGAAATTTCAAGCTATTTTGATTGTAATATACATTCCTACCTTTATAAACCGCAAGATATTTCAACGTAGAGAAGACGAGAACAAAGGAAGTGTGAGCAGTACTCTTATTAATCGATATTGGATATTCCAGTAATGTCACACACTTTCATTTATCACTCAAACTGCAAATGAGAACAACAAAAGACGAGTAACATTATACAAACAAGAGACTAAATAATGTAAAAACACACCTGTAGACAATAAAACGAGGTACAATTTTAAAATAGCGATGTATGATGGTATGGGCGACGCCTCACTCTTTTTTACATAATATTATGGTGACATGATGGTGAGTCTTTATATTATGTTATGTACTTTGACATTATGGACTTTTGTTATTTGCAGACATCTATGGTTTACAAGATGATAGACATTTTATCGTGGTTCATGTTTAAGAAACATAACCTTAAAAATGAAGAATTTCATGGTTTTATAAACATTTTAATTAAATGGATTCATTTGCTATAAAACCAAGAAAGGTCCCTTCCCAAAATGTAGTGATGCGATTAATTAACCGAGAGACTGGTGCTTTCAAGCGACCTGGCACTCATTTTCATACAGCAAGACAGTTTTACCAGAACGTATTCCCTAACTTTACTGTGATAAACATAGAAAAGCCACCGTGCTTTTTACGAAAATTTAGTCCCGATGGAAAGCTTCTTATTGCTTTTTCGTCGGATCAGACATCACTAGAAGTTTACACTTATTTAGGCCCAGCAGCTGCAGGTGACCTACTTCAGAATGCAAAAGAAAGAAGTGATAAAGCAAAATATGAAATCAAAAGTAAAATATTCGAACGATTTTTTAAGGTAATACGTGAACTTAAGCCTTTTCATTACCTGTGATTTCGAAAAAATATGATGAAATGATACTTTCTTTTCAGCTGAAATTTGTTATTAATGTGGCTCAAAGTCTAGAGCAACTGAATCGAGAATGTAGTTTATTTAGTGATGACGGTCGTTATGTTATTGTGGGATCTGCAGCTTACATTCCGGATGATTTGAGACCACATTTTTATGAGATCTATACGAATAACGAATCTGTTACGCCTAATTTAAGGTAAGAAGTTTATTCTTAACACGTATGTAATTTGTGTATCATTTTATCCCTAAAAAAAGGTCACCGTTAGAAGACTACACCTTACATTTAATCGACCTACATGTAGGAAAGCTCTGTGATACTAGACAATTTAAAGTAGACAAAATATTTTTATCCCATAATCAGGGACTTTACTTATACAAGGATACATTAGCCGTTCTCAGTGTTCAGCATCAGGTGATTCATGTATTTCAAATATTAGATGGGATGTTTGTAGATGTAAGGAAAATTGGAAGATTTTGTTTTGAGGATGATTCATATTACTTTAATTCCACGTTTCCAACAGAACGTGCATTTAGAGAAGTTTTTATAAATTCATTAAAGCATCGTCTTTTGACATTTTTGTACAAACGTGCAATCAAAATTCGACAAGAGACAGGAGATCCATATGAGATAAGAAAGTTTTATCAATACTTTGACAATTTCAAGGCCCTAAGGTTATGGAAAATGCAGCTTCTAGATGAAAATCATCTTTTACTTAAATATGCCAGTGAAGATGTTGTCACGTTAAAGACGCCAGATGCCAACAGTCAGGCGTCTTTTTTCGTAGTTTACAACATGATAGAAAGTAAAGTTTTGGCTATATATGAAAACACATCAAGGGAATTATTAGAATTATTTGAAAATTTTTGTGACTGCTTCAGGAATGCTAGTATTTACACTGGTACACAATTTACTTGCAGTCCTTCTAACAATCTGTATGCCAGACTTCAACAACACAGGTAAAAAGTAACAGAGGCAATTCTAATTAACTTAAGAGAAAAATTTGAATACTAATAGTGAATTGTGTAATTTTAGGTTTAAACAGACTATAGTTAGTGCTAAATTCGGTGGGAAAACCGAGGCAACAAAAAGACTACTTGCTCAACTACCAATAAGTGCTCAATCATACAGCAGTTCTCCGTATTTAGACCTGTCTTTATTTAGTTATGATGACAAATGGGTATCAGTAATGGAGAGGCCAAAAGCTTGTGGGGAACACCCAATTAGGTAAATGATACATACGTATTAATAAAAGTTTGTTTTCTAACAGATGATTTTAGATTTTATGCTAGAGATTCGGGCTTTTTAAAGTTTCGTATTTATGCGGGAAGTACAGGAAGACCAAGTACAACACCTGCTAGAAGATTGGTAGCTTTTACTTTTCATCCAACTGATCCGTTTGCCATTTCAGTACAAAGAACTAATTCCGAGTACATTGTTAATTTTCATATACATTGTAACCCGACTGTTTGCGACCTCTCTGAAGACGTTTTAAGTTTTTTATAGCAAGCATAGTGTTACAGATTTATGTACGATATATTTTTTTTTCATTAAAATATATGAACTATTCTGTATTTTATATTTCTAAGAAAAATATGTCCGATTATGTATTTTTAAAACTAATTTCAAATCACAAAGAATTTATTTGAAGAAAATATTTTTTTTAAAGAAACAATAACTTTTCTTAATGTATACAAATGCTAAAGTTTCCAAACGGGTGCTTTTATTAACACTAAAATAACTTAGTATTTAGTTATCAGCGTAATAAGAGTAATTATTATAATAAATAAACTGCTAAAAACTGGTAGTTATTGCAGTAGTCGTTTTTTAATTAAAATTTTAAAAATTACATTACGCTAAAGCAGATACACTTTCGTGTTTGTTTAAGAAATCGGGCAATAGGTATGTTTCTTATGTTTCTCCTTTTTTTACTAGAACACTGATTCGCCTGATTTAGCAAACCATATATTAGAAACAAATTATTTTTAATCTTATACACTGCTTTCTCAAAAAGCAAAAACATTTCGGTTCTTACATTACATAAGAAACGAAATATTTCTGAATAAGGACATTAGACATTACCAATATAAATTCTAACAAATACAAAACAAAACATTAGTCTTTTAACAAGTTTGTAAATAAAATATCACAACAAACTAATCAATAAAAATAATGAAAAACTACGAAAAATAAATTAAGAAAAACAGATCTGAATATAATTAGTATTTATCACCTAAATCCTAAGCAGTTCAATTAGAAATTATTCTTTCGTTATTCATGGATCTTTATATTGAAAAATAAAGATATGAAAATATCAATTTTTCACGTTTTCCAAAAATAAAACAAATACTGTCTACTTACAGCGATAATTACATTATCAAAAGTCGTAAGAAAATATTAGTTTCTTTTTCTTATTTTCAATTTTTTGTATTTTTTTTTAGATTTAATTTGGCAATTTAAACAGTCTACTTTATTGTACATACAACAAAACAAAATTAATTTATTATTATTATCAATAATAATAATAAGTAGTAATAGTAGTATGTATGTAAAATAGTTTTGATATTGAATTAAAGTAGTTATGAAAAAGTTTTTTTGTCAATACCATGATTAATTAGTATCATCGACGAACTATTAAGTCAATTTAATAATTATACTTCACCTGTATCCAGCTCGTCTGCACTGAGTATAGATGCGACGTGGTCAGCTGAACGATCAGATAAATATTGCTTAGCATCGAAACCTTCAACATCCTGAAAAAGGATCAAAAAGAGAAAATGTTATTTTTATTTATTTAAAGAGTGGTCGAAATTCACTTTTGTTTAACACAAAGAAAGTAATTTAACAAATTGTTCACAAAAGTGAATTTCGACCATTCGAAGCAATGGTGCTAACAGATTCGAGCTCACAGTGATTGATAGGGAGGAAAACTTTTTAAATTTAAAGGAATTGTTTGTTAATAGATATGCAACACACAGTACACTTCAGTATAAGAAACTGCTGATAGTAACTTTCATTTACGTAATACTACTTTGCTCTGTGCTGACAGCACTTATAATTTCTTTTATATATAATATTAACTAAATTTACGGATAAAGCAAACATCGTGTAGGTATACGCAATTTCTGGATAATAAAATAAAACGTATGTTAAGGAAAAAACCAACCTTGCGAGTAATGTTGGGGTGCTCTTTCGAAATACGATCCCAGTCAATCGGCGGTTTCAGACACATAGGAGACATAGCCAATTGAACTAGAGTTTCGTTAGAATATGTACTGCGATGTTCATTGCAGTCAAGGGGAACTTCGGGGGACATTTTACCTTTGAGTATGTCTTCCAGTGGTAAATGAGGTCTTCTTAAAGGCGCTGCATGTGACATGTCCAGAATAAGTATATCGGTAAATAAAAAACAATAAATAAATAAATATTGAAATTACCTGTTGTTGCATCGTCCGAGTGTCCATTGGAGAGACCTGGGGACGGCAGAGATTCTGGAGGGGACAATGGAGACTGTGCCAACTCAGGGGTCAAGATTGGTTGGGGCAAACTGTCGAAGCTATAGAACTGGGTTATATCTTGGATTGGTTCACCAGAAAAATATTCATCTAGCACTAATTTACTGGTCTGTAGGAAAAAAAGGCAAATTAATGAATGCTTTAGGTCATGCAAAAACATTAAATAAGGATATTTACTCTAATGAGATCCAAATTGTCTCCGCTGATTTTGATTGTGTGCCCTCCTACAACTACTGTATATTTATATTCTCCGAGACTGGCATCATTGGTACTAAGGCTGTGGAGTAAAGCCCGCGAGACGCGTGCAGAATGGGGTAAAGCACTGTCTTCAGATGCAGAAGAATTAATGCTCGAACTGGATCCAGTCAGAGGACCGCTCAAGCCTTCTCGCACTGGTGAAGCATTGCGTCTTATTGTGTCTTCAATTAAATGTTTTGCATGACTAGAAATTGTAACAGAAATAAAATATTAAAAAAGAAAATGAAAATCTTTGGGCTGGAATACATCTTACTTTATACTTTCTTCGTTAGCACCGGTTATTTGAACCAGACGTTCTTTAGCCCCCGGATTAACTAGAAGAAATTAAAAAAGTGGCAATAATAAATCAAACCTACGAGGTACAATTATATGATAAGATGCTTGTGCAAAATTAATTCATAATTTATTACTTATTAGCTTCGTTAAGAATTGCATAAGATGAGAGTAGTGATGGAACGATTGGTGTATGTACGTAAAGGGAACATAGTTACGCAAGTCATTAATACGATTAAATTAATAAAAAACAGAAACGAGACAAAAAATTAAATTAGCTAATAAACGACGATAGGCACGATACATTTTTACTGTCATTATGCTCAAGATATTCAAAAGACATCACGCATTCCAAAAATAACAACAAAGAAACGTTTAACAATCATGCAAAAAAATGAAAATTCATTTTTTTGATTTCATTTATCTTGAACATTAGAAGTAATAACAAGACTAAAAAAATTATAATAAGACAATTGTGCACTAGTAGTTTTGTTAGCAGAAGCGGATAAGAGCAGTCACACCGACGACCATGATTGCTTTTTTTATTTTTTTTACCTCTTTGAAAAGATATTATCGTTTCACTAAGTTCTTCTATCATATGAACCCTGCGACCTTTGATGCCCATCACTATAATAAGAAATATTACCTCTAAATGTAAAACAGAGTAAAGTTATGTATTACAAAATTTTTATAATTTTTGTCCTGCAAATAAGAACTAAAAAGAAAATTTAGATATTCTTGTATTAAACGATCAAGTACAATTCAAACAATATTTGTTTCTTGTATATGAAAAATAAAAATTTCTATTACCTTTTCCTGAATCAGCATTACGAATGACCACCTCATCTTTGCAATAATTTTTCCCTGGAATCCTGGTAGGTTTAACGAATTTCCCGGAAGACTTGATGACTTCACCAGGTCCCAAAAGTGACGTGGTTGCAGTTAAAGAAGTAATAGACTCCGATAAACTGCTTGCAGTTTCTGAGGCTTCAATCTATATTGTGTTAAAAGAACTGTTTCAAAATATCGTCTGTTCTTTTTGTTGATTACCTTACCTGAACACACTGGTTAGCCTTTTTACGGTAATACTGATTCATAATATCAGTTCCCTTCCATCCTTTAGCTCGTAATTCGATAAGTTCGAGTAAATGTAACCGAGATAAATAATCGAGGCGTTCATCATCTTGAGAACTATTACGGAAAATAACAAAAGCTCTGTTCATCTGGTCCTGATACAGCAACTCAAGGTAAGCACCATATACCTTAATAAAATGGCAATAAAATCAAAACAATGTTTATTTAAGTAGAAGTGGTGAAAACTTGGTAAACATCAGAATTTGATAAAATTTAGAGGGTTAGATGTAAAAGTTGCACTTATTGGAACTTATTATGTATCTATTAATATTAATTATGACTTTAAAAGTAACAGCTCAAAGCAATAACCTCAAAATGAAAAGTAAAGTGTACCTTCAAATGCTGGCATAAGTTAATGATATTCTCTTTGTATGATATGTTGGGATTAACATGTGATGAAGCTAGTAGAGCAGCAACTTGATCAACTGCTTGCATCACGTTTTCAACTGCAAAAAGTAAATACTGAAGAAATGGTAAGGACAGAAATAATGGGACCAACCTGTGCTGAAGACTCCATCCTGCCTAAGTTTGTTGGCTAAAATTTGTGATTGACTTTGGGATTTCACCAGTTCTATTTTTCTTGGGTTTTTCAATCGAGCAGAAATACCAAGAGAAGTCATGGTTATTGGATGACAAAGGCACTTTTGTCCTAAAAATGCAACAATGGATATTTTTTAGTGACTAATAGCAAAGATGTAATAATAGCTATTTAAAAACAGCACCGCAAATTAGAAAATGCACTTATAATTTTTAACAAATACTTGCACAGGACTATGTTAAGTCGTCTTGCTATAAATTAAGTAATAATATATAAACAAAACAACAATTACCTCGTCAAATTTTCGAGACTTTCGTAAAATTATGCGCAACTTACAGCTTACAGCTGGTAAGTACAACCCATAGATAGTATAACCCATAGGTATAACCTGAAGTTCTTTGCTGTGAAATGGTAGTAAACGTTGTGGGAAGCAGATGAATTCCACAAAATTTAAGACATTTGCTAACTTCAGGTTTGTTTTCCTGTCAAGTCTTAATTTCTAACCTTTCTAATAAACGTCAATAAATGGTGAATATGTTAGGTTGTTATATTTTTATAAGCGTAAAAATTATATCGTATTTTTTTAAATAGTCATATATCGTAATCATTTACTGATCGTTTTCTATGAAACGAAATTTTGAGATGGCTGATAATACTAAATTATCACAAAACGAAAGTATGTAATTTCTTTAAAATGGTATCTTTCTTTTTTTCAATTTGAACCTTATTTTCAGTTACTTTAGTAGAACGAGACGTAAATCCATATGGGATAGCCTTGGTTAACCCAAATTTAGTAGCCAAAAGAGGCCCCAGTGACTTAGTTCAATTAGCAGAAGAGATTCAGAAGGTATATATTTCTGTCGATACTTGATAACTATGATAAGTATGTAAATTCTTTTAGGCAGATACAATGATCCATGCTACAGCTTACAATAAACTTCAAGTCATTGCTGAACAGGTACTATGATTTATCAATAATTGTATAAACTTTGTAACCACTCTACTCTTTTAGATTAAGTTTTTACAAAAGCAAGCACAAAAAATTCTTCTGGATGCTAAAACAAATAAAGATCTTCACCATGCAGCTTGTAACTTTGTTAAAATCCCTGGCAACATTTATCACCTATATGAAAGGTTGTCAGGTCAACAATATTTCAGCCTTGTTGCACCAGAAGTTAGCTAAATTACTTAAACAAAGATTGTTTTGATCAACTGACATTTTTTGTAGGAATGGAGTAATTGTCCTCACAAGCACCTAGGAAGCTTTAGATTAGAACAAGATCATTCATGGACACCTGTTAACCATTTAGAAACCAAAAACAAAGAGATAGAGGTCATTGGAAGGATATTAGCGTCATCTGATGTTGATTACATATCAAATGCAATTGAACAGGGCCCCTTGATAACTTCGTAAACTAGTCTTTTTTTTTGTAAATTTGATAACATAACGCGTTCTTTTATTTATTCTACTGTTTGACTAATAAGAAAAGAGCTTTGAAAGTATTCTGTAATTATAAAAACGCCACAACTTATTCTCTAATAAACTTTTACTATGTATTTTGGACAAAAAAGTTGCACCGGTCCTTTTTTACCCTTTTCCTAATTCGTCTTTAAAAAAACAGACTTTACTTCTGATAACTTACTGATACCTGATTTTGTATATACATCTCTTTACATCATGATTAGACTAAAAATTCTAATGAATCTACTACGAAACGTCTCTACTACGTGACACTGGTACGGTGAGCTGAAAAAAGTAAAGAATAATGGAAAATTACTTTTCTGGAAATTAATAAATAAATACCTGTTTTTGGTATCCTTAACGGTTCGTTATCGTTAATTGTTATTTCGTGAAATTGGTCGCGAAACTTGTATTTCACGTATAAATATTTGTTTTCACCTAAGGCAGGGTCAAAGAATCCGGGAAGCTGACTCTAAATAAAAATAATAGACTTTCAAAAATTTTAAGTGGAAAAGCTGTTGAAGTGTTTAATAATTAATCTCTCAAAAATTAATACACTACAGATATTTATGATTTATTTATATATAATAATAGTAATAATGTTAACTATGATGAATGTAACTTAATTTTAAACGTAACTTATGTAATTATTTATCTTTTTTGTTTAGCTTTTAAGTAATTAAGTAATTTGGCATCATACCTGCATCTAAATAATTTTACGAATTAAATAAATTTGACTGTTATAGCACACATTTAATCTGAAAGAAATGCAGTCTCACCTTAGTATGATTATGTAATTCCAATTTACTGTCCTTAACCAGACATTGTAAGGGTATTGTTACATCCAGAATTTCTTCTGCAAAATCACCTGAATCCCTATCTGAAAAGATCACAAAAATATAGAAATATACACTACTTAACTTGTTAAGTCATAAAACGTACTGTTACTTCTCAGGGCTTTTCCATAAAGGGCCTTTTCAATGACTAGTCCTTTCTTTGCATCTTCGTCTCTTACTATCCGAGCATATGTTGCTGACATAAGTTCGACAGCGGCCTGCGCCTCCTTTCGCTTCTCCAGTAATTTGGTGCGATTATTTTGCTTTTCCGTTTCGGCCCTTTTTGCCTCCTGCTCTTTCAAGAAAGGTTCGACTAGACTTTTTTTTATTACTGCATACACTATAAGAGGCACTATGGTACCATAAAACACAGGCGCGGGCATCACTTCTTCGCACAAATGAATCGGAAAAGAGTAAACTTGATTAGCTCTGGTTAATCTGCAAAACAACATATGT